CTGACATATAAACACATTTTTAAAAAGGAAGTAAGCAAGCAGAATTCTCAAGGAAAAGTGACTTTGAGTATAATTCCAATTTTCTTATTGCGAATACAGGATGTAGGAGGCTTGGAGCTCTTCGCTCAAGAATAATAGTTACAATCCATACTCCCTTCTGTGCTCCTCAGTATACGGCTGTATTAAATGGGAGACTGAGGCTCTACTTAGGGGAGTTTCTAAGGCCCTCGAGCAACACTGGAATGGAGAATGGATTTCAGTGAGGTCAAGACTGCAATAGGAATAAAAAAAAAAAAACCTGCAATAGGAAGACCAGTTTTCGGGCTATTGTACTGAGGTGATTGAGGGACCACAGGGCAGGGCTAGCTGGTATGGAGGAATCAGATTGGAGAGGGAGACACTGATCCCGAAAAGTTCTAGAAGGGTTGGCTAGGTGGAAGGTAGCACCAGTAAATCAGAGAATTCAAGAGGAGGAATAGACCTGGGAGAGACTGAAACCATGGGTTTGCTTAAATCCACTTCAGCTGCCTTCACTGATCAAGGTGGTTTTGCATGTCCTCCAAGCGGCATGTGCCTAAACAATAAGGTATGTATCTGCCCGAGTTATTTTCCAGGAACTTGGAGTCAGCTGTGTCTAGTTGGAGCTCAGCTGGTTAACACTGGATAGGACCACCGATCCTCCAAATGGGCACACATGAGTGGCCACGCAGGGACCTTCTGACGCCAGCGGGTCGAAAACTCCACCCTCAGCTCGTGCTAAGCGCCTCCACTCTTGAACGTGCAGAAGCCTGTAGCCTCGTTACGCCTGCGCAGAACAACAATCACCCCCCACCTTTTCCCGGTCACCTTTCCCGACGCTCCCCACGCCTCAGACGGCCCTGCTTCTTCGTTCATTATCCCGTAATTCCCCTGAGCCCTTTGGCGGATCTGAGACTTGTTTTCCCGTCTTCTCACCCGGCTGCCTTTTAAATAAACCCTCTCTTTGCTGCAATCCTTGGCGTCTCAGCGTTTCGGCTTGCTGAGCGTCAGCCAAACATTAACCTGGTTTGGTTACAAGATGGTCATGGCAAAAGCTTAGTTTGGGATCCATTGAATTTGAGGGGCTTGTGGAACACCCTTGTGGAACACCAGGTGGTAACTGGATATTGAAAACTGAAGCTCAGCTGATTCTCAAAGATGCCAATTTGGGAATTATTAACATATACGTTCAGAAGATGCTCATGGGTTTTCTTTTGCTTTAAAATACAGTAAGAAGACTGAGGAAGAGAAACAAACAGGGAGTAACCTGGAGGTAGTTAGAAAAGGGTTTGGAGGAGAGAGGAAAAAGGAGGGTAGAAAAGATGAGAGAGCTGGCTAAGGTAGAATTAACAGATATATTACTAATAAACTACAAAAAAAGGTGTGCCTGGAAAGTTCATGATCTTAGGGGAGAAAAAAAGAGGTGGTAGGAAGGCATAGGTAGAAAATGTTCCTCTTAGCCACAGGGAGCATTGCCACCTCCGGCCCGAGTGAATGACTATGCATGGAGGAGGGAGATGCAGGGAAAGAAGAAAGTGTTGATCCAGCCACTTGCACCTGGGGAGCTTCCTGGGCTGGGGGTTTGTAATTTGAGGAATGTTAACATTGTGTTCCTCCTGAGTACACCATTCATTCAGTGAAGACTTAGCTATTTACCAAATCGTTTGTAAACGATTTCTGTAAAAGCAAAAGCAATGCTGCCATCCTGAATACGGCTGTAAAATCTAAGTTAGCTTACGCATAGCCACCTATGCATCCAACAGAGTTTCCTCATGAAAAGCTCAAAATGGCTTTTCTTTTTTTTTTAACATCTTTATTGGAGTATAATTGCTTTACAATGGTGTGTCAGTTTCTGCTTTATAACAACGTGAATCAGTTATACATATGTCCCCATATCTCTTCCCTCCTGCGTCTCCCTGCCTCCCACCCTCCCTATCCCACCCCTCTAGGTGGTCACAAAGCACTGAGCTGATCTCCCTGTGCCATGCGGCTGCTTCCCACTAGCTGTCTGTTTTACACTTGGTACTATATACAATGGCTTTTCTTGATACCCTTTGCAGAATCCCAATCTGTGAAAGCTTTGGAAGGCTGCACACAGCAGCAGGGAGAGAGAATAAGATGCCCACAAAGCAGAGCTTAGGAGGGCTCCCTGCTGAACCGCCAGCTGTGGGGCAAGCAGCCAGCCAGGGAAGGTACCATTTAGGATGGAGTGTCCCTCATTTGCCCAGCTGGTCTAGATGGGCTCAAAAAGAATTTAAATTTAACCTATTCCAAAGCACCAAATGATTATTTTAGACCATGAGACCAGATGCTATACTTTCATTATCTTTCCTGATGCCTCTAGTTTTGGCTAAGAATCAAAATAGTTGTCAAGGTTGTCTTAAACTTTCTAAACACATATAATCCAAAGCTGCGTGTGTGAAGTGTCTCCAGACTCTTTTATTACTGCTTTTAAAATTCCCCGTAGACACTAACCCATACTGTTACACTCAAACACATTTCTACCACAAAGATTAAAAAGTACTTAAGAATATTTTTTTATTCTACTCTGTATCAAGGCCATAGACACACAAAATGTTTGGATCACTTAATAAGTTATAACATTCCATGTTTTCATAGTAAGAACAAGGACATAAATGATCATTTCCTGAGTTTACAGTGCAACGTAAAATTTAATCTGTATTGCTAATCAGACATCTTACAGCATAGAAATGTGATCAAAATGATCATTTGCTTTATCATGTCATAAAACACAAGAGCTTATTGTAGAACAGTGATACAGTTTAAATGGTAAGGAACTTTGTGATTCATAACAAAGAATCCTGTATATACTTGTTGCCATGATTGACCTTCCAGGACAAATATCAGTAGTAAAATAAGTTATGGTACAAAATAAAGTCAACAAGGTATCTATAGTGAAGAAACATTTGATTTCATTTAAGAAACTAAAACCTGGATTCTAGTTAACCTATATACAAAAATGTTCTTTTAAAAAACCCTAAGTAATCACAAATTTAGCTAAAACAGTTGAATGACGGCTCTTCTCTATGCTGTAAAACTATGGATCTCATCTTTGGAAAAGTTCAAATCATGCAGCAACCTGAAAAACAAATAAAAAGCACATGTTTCTTAGGGAAGATGTTTAAAAATAAAGAAGTAAGATCAAAGTTTACCATCGTAACCATAGTATTTCTTCATTTTCCCCATTTAGCATGTGTTTTCTAAAAAACTCCACAATTATCACTTCTAAAAAATTAACAATAATTCCTTAATATCATCTAATATCTAGTAAGTGTTCACATTTTCAATTGTCTCATAAATGCCATAATTTTTTAAAGTTTGTTTGAATCAAGAGCCAATTAAAATCTACTCACTGTGATTGGTTTATATGTCTTTTGGGTATTTTTTGATCTATAACATCCCCTCCATCTCTCTCTCTCCCTCTCACTCTCTCTCTCTCTCTCTGTCCTGCAATTTATTTGTTGACAAAATCAGATACTTAAGTGTTGAGTCTCCCACAGTTCTCATTTTGCTGCATCCCTGTGGTTTACTTTAATAATATGTTCCTTCTTCCTTTGATCTCCCCAAATTTAATAATTGGATCGAGAGGCTTAATCAGTTACAGGTTCAATTCTTTTTGACAAGACTACTTCATAGTGCTCTTTCGTCACGAGGCACATAATACCGGGTTGCCTCTCTTTTTGGTTGCTAACCACCACTGGTGATCTATGTACAGATCTACTAGTTTCATTAGGGACCGAAGTTGGTGATATTCTACTCCTATCATTCTTTATTCGTTTATCAGCCGAGGAATTGTGTAAAGAATAACTTCTGCTCATCTATTATGTGGTTGTCCAGTAGTATAACTCATACAGAAAAGGCAGAATAAATGCTGGTTTTCTTCCTCTTCATTCACCAGTTTTTGAAGTAAGGACTTGATCCCCTAGCATTCTATCATAATTTTCCCCCACTGAACAGGAGAAGCAGAAATACTGCTTAAGTATAATTCAACTTGGAAAATACTGTAAATGGAAACAAATCTTAAAAGTAGCTCTGTTTAAAATACTGCTGAAGGGAACTTCCCTGGCGGTCCAGTGGTTAGGACTCCACTTTTCCACTGCAGGGAGCATGGGTTCGACCCCTGGTTGGGGAACTAAGATCCTGCAAGCCATGTGGCATGGCCAAAAAAAAAGGAGATGAAAAAAAAATAAAATGCTGCTGAATATAATAAACATTTACTTCATACTCACTCTTTGTAGTCACTATGCTAAGCATTTCACATACATCAATATTATCATTTATTCCCTTGGATAGGTGAGTGCACTAAAGCTTAGAAGGTTTTGGCCCTAGGACACTTAGCTGATGATTGTAGCATGACCCTAAGTGGTGGAGCTGGGATTCCAACCCAAAGTGGCAGCTTCCAGAGCTGACACACACATTCAGACAAAGGGCACAGGAGTTACGAGGGCCAACGTGGTGCGGCAGGCAAGCCTCTCACTATCTGAACCCAACCTACCTTTCCGGACATACCGCCTGTCTTTTTCATAATTAAAATTAAATAAAATAGCAAGAGAGAAAATTACTTAGCAAATGTTAGGTTCAATCATATACCAAACAAGGAAATGCAGGGCATTTAAGGCAGTCATATTTTAAAGTCATCTAGAAACCCAACAGTGGCTATATCTAACCAAATATTTTAAAGTGTCATTTTAGAGTTAAATAAGATCAAGGTGATTTTTAAATAAGATGGTCACTACCACTGGTTGTTCTTTGTGCGGAGTTCAACTCTTGGTCTTGGCTTATTTATGTTCTAGTCCCTGGTTTTTGTCTTGCTGTTTGGCTTTCTCTCACTGTGTTATCGATTAATGCTCACCCAGTTGCAGAGAATGATGGAAGATCAAAAGCTACAATGAGATGAACACTGCTTATTATGATATATTTTTTAAAAATTATGATATATTATGAAGCTTTGGTGGAAGAGGAGGTTGAATCTAGTGTCCGCAAAACTATCTGGCACCAATCTTGTGAAAGCGTCCACACTACCAGACACTACCAGAGGCCATCAAGAGCTGGCTGTGTCTGGCTTTTGTGTTCACATCTAACTCTGTGCATAATCCGGGCCTCCGACGCTTCACCTGCATGCAGATTAAACACTTTGTTATTATTTTCTTACGCTGTGACATACTACTGAAGTGCAGGTTCATATGAATAGGAAGAAATGAGAGCCACGTCAACTGCTGTTTATAGGAGGTCATAATTTCACGGTGCTGGGATTCTCTCTCCTACCACATTGCTACTCACTTCATTCCTTGTTCTGTAAATGGCATTGGTCCACAAATGCAGATGAGGCTTTCTATGTGTCTAAACTTCTTTCCAAAAATTCAGAAAGCAGAGCTGGTGAAATGTTTCCCCGTTTGTCGTTCCATTCAGAAGTAGGTGCTGAGAGAACAAATTCAAGGTCAAATCTGGAGAAAAGAAACACTTTTTAAAAATCTATTACATTAAATATATTATGAACATGTTTCCAGTTCAATAACTCATCTTTTTCTCCCCTGGAGAACAAATGAATATATGAAGGTTGACACGCTTGCTAGAAAAGCACTAGAACAAAATGTAAACAAACATTTTGCAAAAACATACAGGTAAATCCACATTTACTAAAGATAAACTTTTGCTACAGATAAGAGAATAATTTGACATTTTCTATTGCACTCATTAGAAAGAGAGCTCCAAAGGATCTCAGAGAACTCCACATTTTTATTAATAATTCACTTGTATAAAGCACAGTAAAAAGCAACAACCAGTGACATGTGCATTTTCATCTGACTCAAACACTTCCAATGAGTCCTTGACCCCGATAACCAACGGCCTATCTGACTTCTTACTGTTACTGTCTTCATGGCTTCAACCTTGACTTACAGTATCCCTGTGCCACACCCGATGTCACTGCTGTGAATGGCACCACAGTCCGTTTGGTTGCACAAACCAGAAACCCAGGATTGATCTGCCTCACCCTCCACGTCCAAATTCTTCCCAATCCTAGCTCCTAACTCTGTGCTCTGCTTCTCTCAGCCTTCACTGCCACACCCTGCCTGTTCTCTTTCTCCTTCTGTAATGTTTCTACCACACCCCACTGTTCAGTTTCTTAGCTCAAGCATCATTTCCAGGGAAGCACTGCAGCCCCACCAGTCTGGAGTCCTTTCGTAATTACATGTGTTGTAGAAATGTTTCCCTTTTCCTCTTCTTTATAGCCTTTCTATCAGGCTGTAAATATGTGGCCACCAAGGTGATTATTCTAGTAATGTCTCCCTTCCCCATTAGGCCAGAAACTCCGTGAGAGCAGGGACCATGTTTGCTTGGGTTATCACTGCACCCCTAGTGGCCATCACACAGGAGGCACTCAAACACTATGGAGTGAAACATTTCAAAGAAAAGAAAGGGTACAGAATTACGATCAGAAAGAAGCACATCAAACCAAGCCTCACAAGGGAACAACAGACCATTTCTTCCCACAGCTCTGCAATCTGTTAAGTGAACTGCTGATGAACAGCCATAGCACATTCAAAATTCTAAGCTCCACCTGCTCCCTTTGCTCCACTTCTGCAAACAGTTAGTTCTTATCATTTTCAGTAGCATCAGATCAAATGTGTTTCTACATTTTCCACTTGAGTAATATGTTAATCTCAATCTTAAGAAAACGCTGAAGCAAATAATTTCTCTCGTGAGGTGGCCCTGGGAGCCAAACATCAGAACAGAAGCAAGACATGGCTGGAGCTGTGGTCCTCGCCTGGCTGGGCTGCAGCTGGGTGAACGCTCCCAAGAGCGGACGGGCCAGCACAAGCATACAGACCAGCTCAGGGCGCCAGCCGGGCTACAGAACCCGTCTCAGCTCTCACCAGACCCAGCCTCTAGGGCTTATAGGTCCATCTGTGGAACAAGGTGGGAAAACTATATGCTCTCTTACAATTCTAATATTCTGATTTTATATTTAAAATCCCAACAGAGACGTGTTTTATTTCTTGCCTTTAAGGTTCCCATTTCACTTTAGCAGCAATAGGAATCCACCCTATACAAAACAGTACCCCGAATACTCTCTTTTCCTAGCATGTTTTCCTTCCCAGCACTTATCATTAAGATAGCGTTACGTAATTCTGGAATGTGATGTTTGTTTGCTGCTTCATGAGGCCAGAGTCCTGGCCTGTCTTGTTCATACTGTATCCAGACCTAGCTTGAGGCAAGTGTGCAAAAAATAATTGATGAATGAAAAAAGGAATTTATGTAACAAGAAGCCATATTGGTTAAAAATAAACACTATACTCAGAAGAACAAAGCCATATGCTGGCATCTATGAAATTACATATAAAAATGTATGTGAACTTGTAAGGGCATTTTTCTGGGAAGAAGGTCTATAACGTTTCATCAGATTATCAAAGGGGACGCAAAATCAGCTGTGGAACCACTATCTTAAGACGTTTCTAATTATACATAGACAACGCAATAAAATATAGCAACTGCCTTGTTAAATTACAAATAAAAGATAGTCTCCTCTGCCTCTATTTCCAATCAGTCTGTCACTGGAATAAAACTGCTAAGATATATAAATCAATACTGGCGTCCTTTGTCATCTGAATAAAAATCTTAATTTTCCTTTAGTGAGATGCTTTAAAAAGAAAAAAAAGCATAATCAGTGGCATGCTTTCTGCAGGCATCTACTAAAGGGTGAAAAATAACTGTGATCCTTACATAAATGGTATAAGTTCCTCATGTATTTTGTATTTATTCACATATTGATCCCCTGGGTATACCTTTGGGTCTCTCGATGGAAAACGTGACCGGGTGGCATGAATGCAATTTTCAGGGGGTTGTAAGGAGGCTGACAACCTGTTTCTCTTCTCCTTCACAGCCCTGGAAAAGACCTTTCACTGGAGCAGGAGTAATCCCAAGGTAAGACTCAAGAATACATGAATGAAGGACTTCTTATACCATATCAGGATACAGATGGTTACTGTGGATGGTTGCTTCTGAATTCTTCTGAAGGGCAACTTACTGTCTGAAGCATTTATAGCCTTCAGGCATGAGGGGACGCACTGGCAAATGTCCTGAAACTCCTTTCTGCCCTATGATTTCAGAAGTGCCAGAAAGGACTGGGACTTTTGAAAAGGTTACTTGAAAGTAAATTTCGAGAATCCATAAAGTGCAAACCAACATGAGAGAGAGAGACAGAGAGAGAGACAGAGAGGCCTGCTTCTGATGAATGTCGAAGTCTAAATGTCAATGGAAGTAAACAAGCTTGTCCAAAAAACATTACTTTAAAGTAGGCTGATAAATGACCTGAGATAAAAAAAAATCTTGAAATATAAACGTGTGCATTCAGTCTAAACCATACGCAGAGCCTGAAGTCATTCAACAACGTATTCCCTCCTCCTCCAGGCAATCAGCTTCCCAGACCCACTCCTTCCTATTTCTTACACATACATAGCCCTGCCTTCCCAATTTTACTGCCACAACTCCAGGTCCGGCCCTTCTATCTCTTGTCTAAGATGCTGCTCTAATAAGTTTACCCTCACCTATCTGGCATATCCTTGTTATACTAGTTCTCCTAAAAACCCAGATCCAATCTCACAACTTCTTTGCTAAAGCTTCAGTGGCTTGTCACTGCCCACAAAGTAGTATTTCAGAGTACTTGGGGTCCCAGCTTTTCCTGGTTTCTCTAGCTAAAGAAAAATACTAGAATCTGCAGAAAAACTTGCTATTTGCTCATGGGAAAAACAGCTCACAAAATAAACAGCTAGGGGTTAAAAATATTTCTCAAAACGAATCTGATTAAACACTTGTGCTCCTCCAAATGTTAGTGGTCGCCCATGAAAACAAAAGGCTAACCTGGAAAATAAGTTTGGGACTACTGGGTTAAGAGAAGTTAAATAGATTTGTTTAGAATTTCTCAAAGCCTTGAATATGCTAAGTTTATATTAAGCTTCAAGAAGATAACATAGTATACATTATTTCTCAAACTTATTTAATCATAGAGCCCTTTAGGGGGAACACATGAGTATTTCAAGGAATACACTCCAAGAAACACACCCCTGGCTCTTCCCTGATGGAGCAGTGGTTAAGAATCTGCCTGCCAATGCAGGGACATGGGTTCAATCCCTGGTCCGGGAAGATCCCACATGCCACGGAGCAACTAAGCCCATGCACCACAACTACTGAGCCTGCGCTGTAGAGCCCGCGAACCACAAATGCTGAAGCCCACGTGCCCTAGGGCCTGTGTGCCGCAACTACTGAGCCTGCAACTACCGAAGCCCACGCGCCTACAGCCCATGCTCCTCAACAAGAGAAGCCACTGCAATGAGAAGCCCAAGCACCACAATGAAGAGCTGCCTCCGCTCGCCACAACTAGAGAAAAGTCACACGCAGCAACGAAGACCCAATGCAGCCAAAACATAAATATATTTAAAAAAAAAACCCAAAAAACATTGGGAACTGTATTCAATACCTTGTAATAACCTATAATGGAAAATAATCTAAAAAATATATATCTGAATCAATTTGCTTTTCATCTGAAACTAACACAATATTGTAAATCAACTATACTTCAATAAAAAAACCACCCCTGGAGGACCATCTGGGAGGAACAGAGGTATAGGGCCCAGATTAGGGGCCCACATATCTGAGTTGCCTCACAGGCTGGGGGAAAAGAAAGGCGTTCAAGCACCTTGTTTAACTTGTGCTTCTGGAATCACTGGATTTTGCTGTCTTAAATGGGACTTACACATTGCTGGTCCCCAAACTGACAGCAGAATATAGAAAAACATTTACCTTCGAGAGGCTATTGTCAAAATGGATCAATAGGCCTTGGTACACTTTGACTTAGTGATTCTTTTGGTGAATCTTTATCCTGCATAGTTAGAGAGGTACAGAAAAATTTGTACTCACTATGTCAAACAGTAGAGGGTTGGTTAAACAAATTATGGTATGAACTCAATGGCCAAATACAATGCAGCTATTAAAAATCATGGTGTAGTGTGAGTTTTCCCAACTAGAGCTACTGGCAGTTTGGGCAGGACAATTCTTTGCTGTCCTGTGCTGTCTTGTGCACTGGAGGCTCTTAACAGCATTCTTGTAGGCTCTTAACAGTCTCTACCCACTAGGTGCCGGGGAACCCCTTCCATCAGTTGTTACGATCAAAAACGTTTTGAGACATAAATGTCCCCTAGGGTGTCAGGGTGTCGGGCGGGGAGAAACAGAATCACTCCAGGTCGAGAGCCACAGGCTGAAAGTATTCTATACATAGAATACACACAATTCACTAAAAATGTAGTTATAAAAAGTATAGTCTGTACGGCTACATTATTTAAAAATACAAAAAAATAATGTGTGCATTTAAGTGTATAAGTGCGTGCATGTGTGTATGTATGTGTGTGTCTGTGAGAGAGAGAGGGAGAGAAAGAGAGAGAAGGAGAATGGAAAGATACAAACCATAATGTTGTTCCTTGGATGGTAAGATTATGGGTGATCTTTTCCCTTATATATTTTTCTATACAAATATGTATTAATTTTATAAACGGGGGAAAATCATCAAATCATCAAATTCTACTATTTATAGAAAACAATATGCTACTAACTTTACTAAAATAAGGTTATTATCTTCAAACATGACTGCTTTGAAAGGGAAGGAAAATACTTATTCTATTTATATATTACAAAATGCCATCCAGAAGTCAATCTCACTGACAAACTGTCCTGCAGCTCAAAAAGAATTCTGCAAAAGCAGAGAACTCAGAGCAGGCGCATTCTACTGGGGGAGGGGGGAGTACCAGCGTGTAAGACTGAGTCAACCAGGTCTCATAACACTGCTCAGTAGTCGAGACAGAGATAAGTGAAATTTAATTTGGATTTCCGTTTACATAGTAATTAGCTACACCTGCTGCTGTACATATTTACCTTCTACTGGAGTTAACAGTCAAGTGTAATAAAATATTTGGATAAAATTCAGGCAAGCTAACTTTTTTTTTCCGTTGAAATTTTAAGCTTAATGACATGAAAAGTGAATTGAAACAGAAACATCCTAAAAGAGTACAAATGCTCTACCTATTTTCGGCAATTCTGTTAAGTTTAGCAACATGGGAAAATGAAAAGATCCATTCCCTGGATTGCATGAGAAGATAAGCCAACACAATATCCTGTTCCCTGTTATACCCCCATACAGGCACTTGGGAGACGCTCACAGGAAATTGATGAGTAAATGAATGTTACAAATATGCTAATTCTGGGCGAGGCACCCACGTCTGCTATCTCATGGCCCCCACTCCCAAACAACCCTATGACGGAGATATCAATGTCCCTGTTCTACAGATGGAAAAACTGAAACTCCCTCAGATCAAGTGACTTGCCCGAGGTCACAGGTTAATAAGTTTCCATCATACAACAATGTTTCAAAGAATTTCCTTTGGCAACTGTGTTATTTGGATAAACTCTGAGGACAAGCACAGCATGCTTGCTGAAAATGAAAATATTAGATCATACATCAGTCTCAGTATACATTTTTCCTATCCTTCCTTGTTCCCCAAAGGATTGAATGGAAAGCTGTGTCCTAATCCTACAGAGAGTAAGGTATTTCATTTGTTTTAACTATAGAACTTATTTTTTTAATAGTCACAATCCCATAATAATTTAACCAAGGAGATGTGTTCAAGTTTCACATTCTGCCATCAGAAACTTTATTACTAAAACGAGCAGTGACATAGGAGAGTCAAGATGTAGGAAAGGGTGGTTTAACAGATTAAAAAAATTAAGCCTTAAATGTTAACTAAATGACAGATGTGACAAATTAAAACTACCTTATATTAAATTTCAACTTTCACTTTCCTTCTATGTATGGGACTCAACAATTATGCTCTGAATGAACAGTACTACCGAGAGCCATCAGTAAACCTTTAAGGCTAGGTTTCTCCTCTATCTGCATAAAACCTGAGAATATGGAAGGTTCCTGACAAATGTTCCAAAGCCATGTACATACACAAGGCCTCTGTGTTTCCCACTGAGGGTCTGACCCCAAGGCCTTTGCGTTTTCCAGGGAGGGTCTGACCCTGAGTCTCCAGGGGGGCACAGATTATCCGACGCTGGAAGTCAGTGCCAGTAGAGGGCCCCCAGCAAGGAGAGTGTACCTCCAGAAAGTGGAAGGAAAGGGAGGGAGCAGAGAGCACACAGTAGCGGGAGCAGGCGGGTGAGAGCAGGGAGAGCGCGAGCGAGCAGAAGAGAGAGGATAAAGGCAGGCCAGAGGCAAAACACTCACTCCTCCCAGCACACTGGAGCGTCTCACTCACTTAGAGCCAGTCATCCAGAAGTGAAAAAGAAGGGGCCTTTCCTCATCCTCAGTCCTGCAGCCTATGCAATTCCAGCAACCCAAATTATGTGGACCAAGCAAGACAAAACAAAACACACAGGGGACGTTGTTAAAGGGCACTTCATTTTCAGAAGCTGTCAACACGTGCCTTTTTACCAATTCTTTCTTTTTAAAAAAATTTTTTTTAACTTTTTATTTTATATTGGAATATAGTTGATTAACAACGTTGTGTTAGTTTCAGGTGTAAAACAAAGTGATTCAGTTATACATATATACACGTTACTTCTTATGTCAAGTTTAACATCAATGGATAGACTAAGAGTACAATGTCTGTTTGCTGAAATAATAGTAAATGAATTTTTCTTGTACAAGCAAACTATCTTGAAGAATACCATGTCCCCAAACTGTCAGAAATACGTTTTTTAAAAAAACCTAGCTAAAAAAGTGTAGCTATGCCTGCTTAAAGTCTTTTAAATGCTTGTTTAGGAAACAGGAGCTCAAACAGTCAAAAGAACACATGTATACAGAGGTCCTTCATAACAGCAACCCAAATATCTAAGCCAGGGCTTCACAATTTTTAAGCATTTACACTATCTTCTCTAGTCCTCACAACAGGCTTATGAAGTAAATAGGAAAGATGTCATTATTCTATTTTGAAAATAAAGGGACAGGCCCACAGAGCTACGTAATTTTTGAATACAGTTTCAAGCTAGTAAAGGGTAGACTGAAAACCAGAATTTAGGTCTTTAGGCTTTTTGATAAATGCTGCTTCCGATTTTCCACTTTGAAAATTAGTGAAAAAGACACTCGAAAAACCCAGGGATTTGTATTTCTTTAAATTATGCTCTAAATTGCCATGCAACTACTTAAGTATAGTACATATTCTTAGGTTTATGTTTTAAGTATGTAAGAAAACACTTCGATAATTAAATTCAGGTCGTCCTTCGTTTGTGCAAATTATTTACTAAAAGAGAAAGAGGGAGAGGTTGGGAGACAACAGAGAGGAAAAGACTAGAAGGAACCACAGCATCACCTTAGTGAGGATGTTCAGAAAATAATCAGAAGAACCTGGAGCCCCTGGGACAGCTGGATTTCTGAGGTCTTTAACTTTTAAAATGTCTAGAACTTTATCTCTACCATACTGTCATAAACATAAATACTTACGTCAGATATTTTGTATGACTTATGAAGTTCTGCAATTCTTAGAAATAGTTTTTAATGATTACAAAAATGCTTCAGAAATATGACTTCTCCAATTCATTCTTCTTCTGAAAATTTTGTTTTGAATTTCCAACTGCTTTCATACCTCTTTAGGGTAGATGGAGTGTATGCGTGGTTAAATTATCTCACTTCCTTGGACTGTGCTAGGGCTCTTTTTTCAATGAAACAAATTGCCACCTTGCTGTCCTTGCTGCCTCATTTTACCACTGAATTCAGCCTGACTCAGACTTTTTTCTATTACCTATACCAGCATTTCCCAAAGTGTGTACTGAGGACCACTAATGATATTTAATACGTGTTAATGTAAATGAACAAAAATGAAGAGAATCTTGCTAAACAATGCAGAATGAATCCCCTTCTTGGAAAGTCACAATGGACATTGGCATAGTAAAGGCTCTAAGAAATCCTGTAGTAAAAAAACATGTTTATTTTTGCTTAACCTATCTCACCAGATTTATTTGATCTGTTCCCATTATAACAAGAAAATCTTGAATTACCAAATTGGCTACACTGCATCATTTTTAATGAAACCTAACTCAGTATAAATAATATAACATAAACATAAAGCCCAGTATTTATTTTATTGATACCTATTTGATGTCACATTGACCTTATCAAACTATTTCTTTGGGGGAGGTATACTAACATTACTTAACATTACTTACATTTAGTTTTTTTTTTTTTTAAAGAATTAGTGATTATTTTTGTTTGAAGGAGTTTCCTGGTCAGTTAAAAACTCCAACCAAAGGAGGCAGGGTATCAACTGACTAAACCTGTATGAATATTTAAAAACAGAGCTAATACCACTTTTATACCTTTTATCCTTAAATGCTAATTTCTCCAATTGGCTTCTCCAAATTATGTCATCCTCTGTTTTATTGAAGAACATCAGCTTCACTTTCCTTAAAAGAAAAAACAACTCAAAAAGTACGATTTCAATTATAGAATTTAAAATATGCATGAATGGAAAGTCTAAAATTGAACTAGCATGAATGCTTTTTAGTGCCAATTAGGTAACCAAAAATATCAAAAATAAAGGAATCAAGTAAATAAAACAGCTTGGAGTGGAGGAAGCAGAGTGAGAAATGACGACTGAGGGATAACATGTCTGTTGAGGTCCACTCAGTATTTAATCGATTTAGAATACCTTCTACTAATCTAGCAGTCTTACAAGGGGTAGTAATTAAAGACAAAATGACATACCTGAGACTGGGTATATTAGTCAAAGCATAACTCAGTACTTTAACCATTGGTGTGAAGCCTGTTCCTGCTGCCAATAAAAAGAGATCTTCCAATTCTCGGAACTGGGATATTTTAAAATTGCCCTCGGGATTGCTTACAGAAACATAATCTCCTAAACAATGAAATATACATAAAATCAGGAAAAAAAAAACTGAGACCGTTAACCTAGCTGAATTAAGAACACGAGGAGAAACAGTTGGCTAATTATCAGACTACATCTCAGTTTTTAAGGAATGTAAGGGGTTTTGAGAATACTCATTAGGCTCCCAAGTATGTCATTATACTCAAATTATCATTATAATCAAATTAATAATGAGATTTCATTATACTCATTTCCCAATATTATTTTCCCAAATCAACTGGAGTCTCTAACATACAAACCACTGCCAAATATTTAACTACAAATTATCAATAAAGGCTTGATTGCTAAACTAAAACTAGGCACTTCAAAAGCAGAGTCCGAGTATACCTGTCTTGCACAGTATAGGGCGGAAAATACACATTCACTACTTACATACTGATTCTTAACCACAGTAATAAGCGTAGTAGGAGAGAAAATTGAAATGTATTCTAATATCTTATGTTGTTAGTAAAAGTGCTAACTTTGCCTCCATCAAATCTCTGAAAATACCTATCAATTAAAACAAGAGCTGTTCTGCATTTAATTCCCATAAAGACAAAGCACGATCAGAAACTGTACTTGGGGCATACTACTTCCAAATTTTCAATCAAAACAGTTGAATAAACCCTTTTCTGCTATGCAGTTGATATAATCGCTATGTACCACTCATATAAGAGAACTGTCTTTAGGACATTTCAGAAATTTTCAATGTAACTTTAAAAATACAAAATAAAGCTGACCATATTTTAAAAACAATTTCAAATGGTCTGGTTTATTTTTAAATGTTTGGATGCTCATAATTTTTCCCTTTTTTGTCCATGGCAGGAGAGTAAGAATGTTGTAGTAATTGATGAGTTAAACATTAGAAAGTAACAGAAGCTCCTTGGTTATAGTTTGAAAGGGACCATAAGATCAGACATCCTCAGGAAAAAGTCAGCTGGTTGTTTACTAAAGCAGCCTCACAGAATGATATTAACTTGATAACTTTTGTCCACAGTCCAGTCCTTCCAGTGTCATAAAATTGATTAGACTCAGGCAAGGACTTGAGGCTAATGAAGTTCACAAGAGATTAAAGCACACATGCCAGAATGGCAATGGATTTTCAGCCTGACTACCTGCATCTAGTGACCTGAGCATTACATGCCCCATCCAGCGCATCTCATTCCCAGTATTGGAAGACCAAATATTTGGAACATTTGGCAGGGCAAAACAATCGCTTAAAAGTTACTTGATGAACATGGAATTGAAACAAAGAAGTGGATAATTTTATAGGGTAGCTCACATAGGCCATATTGAGACTTCATGAGTTATCACTGCTCTCATGAAGGCATCTCATTCCCAGTATTGGAAGGGCATCTCATTCCCAGTATTGGAAGACCAAACCAGGGCATCTCATTCCCAGTATTGGAAGACCGAACATTTGGAAGGGCAAAATCATCGTTTAAAAGTTGCTTGATGAACATGGAATTGAAACAAAGAAGTGGATAATTTTATAGGGTAGCTCACATAGGCCATATTGAGACTTCATGAGTTACCACTGCCATGCCAGTGTACAACCCTCTAGGTGGCACCAGTATCTGTGCCATGACTAGTTCCCCTAGATGAAGTTGAAAAAACACTGATCTTGCTATTTTGGCTTTCCTTTCCCATGCTCTATGCTGACTCTCCACCCTGCTCTCTGCTACACAATCTCTATGGATAGGTTATAATACCATCAGTTAAGTTTCCAGCTGCTATATTACAATCATGTTGTCAGTCCTTCGCAAGGTGATATCACCTTCACTAGATATGTAGGTATTCCAAAATTCGTTAGGTTCACATTTATGTCCAATATTTTGATTTATGTAACCAAAGATGACTCATCACATCTATTATATGTAGACTGCTGAGCTTAACTTTCAGAGAGCAGCAAATTTTCTCTATTTCCAAATTTTAGTGATCTACTTCACTCAATATTACTGCTAACACTGTCTTAAAAGGGGAAGAGCTCTTTTATTGTTAGGCAAAAGGCAGTGAAAAGTTGAAGAGACAGAAAAAGGAGTAGAAACAGGAAGGGGGGCGGTCTCTAAATATTAGTAGATTTCCTTATAGTCCCTTTATTAATTCTCTCAAAGTACTTTTATTGAGAGCCTGTTATGCGCTAACTGCCCTGCTGGGTATGGAAAATACAAAGATAAGACATATCTATCCTTAAACTCAAAATCCTGTAAAGAAGGAATATCATTTATTCTTATCCTAGATCAATGAACAAAGTGTTAGTTACCGAGGGGTTCAGAAGAGGAGGGAGGCTTCATAAAGTAAGTGGTATTTTTAGAAAATATTTTTAAAAAGGTACTTGACAGGTAGAGAGAGGCATTCTAAAAAACTCAAGCACCTAAGAATGAGGATGACAAACCTCTGGACTAACTGATTAAGTCCTCTTCGTGACCTGCAAAGACTTGGATGCTTTTTCCAGCTTCACCTCTCACCATACAAAATACTTGTGCTACTCAGGTAATGGAGACCCATCCAAGGCGTCAAAGCTGCAGAGCAACGTGACTAAATCTATCACCAAGGCAGTATGGAAAAAGAACTGGAGAATGCAGATTAACAGAAAGATACCGGTTAGAGGCAACTGAGAGAGACCAATTACAGATTAAGAGAGAAACGATGAAGGCTTGATCTAAGAAGGCGGCAGAAGGGATAGAAAAGAAAGATTAAAAAGTCACTGAGAGGTAGACTCAATAAAACTTAGTGACTGACTGGATTGGGAGGGAGAAAATGGGAAGACGCAGCGATGGCTCGAGTCTCCAGATTGGGTCGAGGATGAACAGTGATGCTGCAAATAACAGATGAGGAATATGGAAGCAAGGATAGGTTGGTGGGACTAAGAGAACACGACTTTGGCTGCAGACATGATGAGTTTAAGATATCTGACAGACTCCCACAGGGAAATAACTAAAAGAAGCTGTAACATGTGATCCAATCCAGAACACAATCTAGGTTAAAAAATATATATACTAACCAATCTGAAGATGATCAAGCTCTGGTGTGAAGAGTCCAGCAGGGTAGATTTTGATCAAAAAGTAGATGTATTTATTGTTGGGAAGAACTGGTTCCTTGAACTCTGAGAATAAGGAATCAGATACGGGTGTATATGGCTTCACAATTTCAGTACCTGGAAAAAGTCACAACAAAGAAATTCAAATCTAAAAATCTAAATGAAGATGAAGCATACAAATTTTAGGATGCTATCAGTATATATTTAAAACTGTACACTTAATGTGAACTTAATTCTATGTTCTATATGTATGTAGTACATGTATATATACCCTAAACCTATGTGTGCTGAGATAATTTTAACAAATCAGTAATCTACCCATAATATAAATAATCTGTTTTTATTAAGTGTGGCATAAGGTGATGGGGTTTTATGTTAATAAACTTAGACAACCATCTACACCATCAACATGTAAGCTTTGTAATAGGCTACAACAAAAATGGCATTAAAAGTTTACACAGAGATGTGAGAAGGTACTTACATAATAATTTAAATTATACACCAAATTTTTTAAAGATTTTATTTTATTTTGTTTTATTTATTTATTTTTGGCCTCACCACACGGCATGCGGGATCTTAGTTCTCTGATCAGGGATCAAACCCGTGCCCCCTGAAGTGGAAGCATGCAGTCTTAACCACTGGACCACCAGGGAAGTCCCTATATACCAAATTTTTAACAATGGATACCAATGGCCAGTGGGATCATTTGCGTTCCAGGAAGGGAAGAATTTCACTTTTTACTTTATATATTTCGAATTGTTTTAATAATTTAATATTTTATATATTACTTTGGTAACTGAAAAGAATGTTAATCCAACTACTTCTAAGAATATAATAATAAAAAACAGGGTAAAATTAATAAGTCATATTTTAGGCAGACAAATTCCAAAGAAAGAGGAGTCACGACATATTTGAAAGACCAACATTTTATACATGTTTCCATCACATATACAAAAATTAATCTATATGTAAATTATAATACATCGACAATAACCACACTGGGGAAGATACCAGCTATTGAATGATAACTTGGCATTAGTGATGATGAAGAGAAAAACTGAACAGTGCCATCATAATAAACCATAGTCACCAAATCCTGGCTGGTAGTCTGTGAGGCTGATTGCTGGAAAGGTTAGGAGTGTTATCTTCTGCAGTTTCAAAAGACTAAGAAGATGTCAGACATCGGTAAGAAAGGTATTTAAAACAAGTAAATGAGGTAACTTCAGGACAAAAATGAGGGAAAAAGAATTGACACAGTAAGGAGTATGTTTACAGAGCTTCTTATACTAGCGGCACATGCCAGGAAATCATTTATAATCATCCACTCATTTTCAGTTTTATAAATTCAACTTCATAAATGCCAGACCCGAAAGTGGCTAAATAAGAGACGTTAGTGTGTGTTTCTGGCAGCTGTCTTCACGGAAGACCATCTGTGTGCTCCCTCACCTCTTTCCTTTAAGGCTTTGTTAGTAATAAATTACAATGCTGGTGGCACTACCTCTGTGACTAGTGATAATTTCTTTGTTCATACAGTGATGCAGCACAGCTATAGTTCCCATATGTAGGATCACTGCATCCACAAACCTAGAATCTGGCTATCACTAAGTCTAGCTGCCCAGAAACATTCTATTTATAACCTAAATGGGCACTTCCTCGAGAGATTAGTACTGATTCCGAACTGCTTATAAAAGAAGAAAATGTTTCCGCAAAGCCTCTGCTTGCCTTACCTGTAATAGTTAGCTTGAAGTAAACATGTAGCCCAGTTGGCACCTGAAGATGTGTGCTTGGTGGCAGCATCAAGCAGAAAAGCTTCGTATCATGAGTCACATCTTCCTTGGAAATTAACTGGCACTTTCTGTAGTACAAACCTAGAAAGTGATTCATTTTCTCTTAGTGATGAATAAATTAAATAAGCAGTACTCTCAGACCTACCACGCAAAAACACAGGCTCAGCTTTTGCTCTTTAGTGAGCTTGAGTTTCACTAACAGGCCTGTGACATTTAAAAAATTTGTCAGTATTTTGAAAATCTTATAGTGTTAGTTTTCTCCATTTTATTTCCTGCGATATCCATTTTCTAAAACCTGTAAGTACTTCTGTAATTTGAAAAATAAGCTCTATAAAATGAGTGTTATTTTCTCATGTCTGTTGTTATAGCATGTTAAAACCATTATAGCCTAAGAAATTAAAGTCTAGTTTATTTCTTCTTAAATTTACTGTTTAAAATAATTCCATCCTTTAAGCCTATAACAGCTACATAATTAAATTGTAGATGTGAAAAATATTTGATAATCAACAAACTCATTCTACATTCTTTTCTTACAGAATGGAAAAGTCCAGCAACTCAAATATTTAAGGTTTAACAATACCAGCACTATTCAATAACTTAGAAATATTTCTTTGATAAAGGCAGGAAAAATACATTCTTGTGTCTCTGTATATGTGTATTATATATACACAAACAAAATTCATATGTATATGAATTATAGAACATTTCAATGGTCAAAAAATGATTAAAACAAAAAATAAACTTAGGTTTAAGAGTGTAAGTTCTGATTATCTGGAAAATCAATTTAAGTGAAAAACTGAAGATGCCAAGTTTGTGGTACTAAAATACAAATAAACGAAAGGAATCAAGTATTTCTATAAATACGGGAAATATTTGAAATTAATACCCTAAGCTCAGGAAATATTATTTGTATACAGAGCAAAATAATACCACTTGGATTGGAAGATCTTGTTACAGAAGTTCTGAAAGCATGAATATTTTCACTTGTAAATTTTCTTTCGGATGTAAACAGCATGCCAGAGTAGACTTTGTTTCATAATTTCCTCTCTTTTATAAAATAGCATTTACAGAGATGTCAGGAATTAATCCTAATAAAGCATCTTATTATCCTAATTATGCTCTTTTTTTTTTTTTTTGCCATACACGGGCCTCTCACTGTTGTGGCCTCTCCCGTTACGGAGCACAGGCTCCGGATGCGCAGGCTCAGCGGCCATGGCTCACAGGCCCAGCCGCTCCACGGCATGTGGGATCTTCCCGGACCAGGGCACGAACCCGTGTCCCCTGCATCGGCAGGCGGACTCTCAACCACTGCACCACCAGGGAAGCCCCTATGCTCTTTTTTTAACCTAAAAATATTTAAGTAGGTGCAGAAAGATTTACTCCAGACCTTAGGATGTGAAGGTCCTACATCAAATAATGAATAGTTAGTGGAAAACTAAAATTCACATAGAATCCTAAGAAATCATTTTGGCCACAGTTTCATCCAATTCTTTTCTTCCCTTGTCCCTTTTGCTCCCAAAGAACCTGGTCACTAAATCTTTCCATCTGTCACCATGGTAGCTCGGTATGCACATAAACTTTAGAGTGCATCATTGCCAGGGCAAAGCTTAGACCAGATTACAGCTAAGGGTACCGCCCCAGAGTTATCCCGGAAGGCCTAATCCAGTACTGGCCCGACGAAGGATCGGAGGACCTAGGCTCACCCCCAAGAAGAAATGAAGGTTCAAACGACCTCCTTATCCCTTCCTCTAGACCTTCCTGGGACCTGGAGTGGTAATACAATATGAGACCCCCATCTATATGTCTAAATATGTGAAAGTTATAAATCAGACAAATAACTGCTAAATAAAATATGTTCTACGCTACACCTTGAAATATACTTTCATAATGACCTAGAAGACTAGGTTCGAATTCAGCATTCTTCACCTCCTCAGAGTTCCACACAGGAAGATGGCGGAGGGGTGACAGCAGCACCCCCTTGACTGCCTATGGCCTGACCCCCCTCTTCTCAGCCCCACTATCTGACCCTGAGTGGAGCCTTGTGCAGGTGTAGGTGCACCAGCCCATATGTTAAGGCTCATCTACTTGCTCTCTGCATAAACAGCCTTGGCCACTTCCTGGATAGAAGCGGATTTGGGGCCATTTGGGCAGGGAATTCTGGGGTTCCAGATACCTGGAGGGCAGTGGTGAAGGAAAGCACCTGAACTCCAGGTGGATAATTCTTCACCTTGCACACTCCTCATCCTGTGGGAGCCGTGCAGCTGGAGGAGAGCCCTTGTGTTTTCCTCCAAGCACGGAGTCCAGGGCAGGTGCCCCTCCTGACAATTTCACCTCTAGCCTTTACCAGAAAGGATTTGCTAGAGTAAGTATGCACCTCTTTGACTATACTTAAAACACAAGGAAACTCAGCGTTCCAGTGACTGACTGGCTTTCCTTGTTAGAGAATTAACACAGTATTCCTGAGATTTAACACCACTGAGATAATTTCAACATCTTACCGATAAAATAATAAAACTGCCATAATTTCACAAGGACGTGCTAACAACAGGTTCTAAAAGTCTTACGGAAAACTTAAGAATGTTTTCGTCTTTCAGTTGCACTGAGGAGAGAAGTATCACAGGCATGGACCTGAAAAATGGTGGAAAAGGAGTATAAAGCAGATGCACTGACGACTTCAGCCTGGATAATGCCTGTATTGAAGTGTCAGGTTTTTGGTTTTATAAGCATAATTATACAAGAAAATGAGAAACTGAAAATAAATATGAGATGGTGAAACAAAAACATAAGACAGAAAACTGTCTGCCCAGGAACCTCACTTCTTTTTTTATCTTTATTTTTTTATTGAAGTATAGTTGATCTTCAATGTTTCAGGTGTACAGCAAAGTGATTCAGTTATATATATATATATATATATATACATATATACATACATACACACACACACACACACACACACACAAAACACACATTCTTTTTCAGGTTCTTTTCCATTATAGGTTATTACAAGATATTGAATATATTTCCCTATGCTATACAGTAGAGGTCCTTGTTGTTTACCTATTTTATGTACAGTAGTGTGTATCTGTTAATCCCACATTAACTTCTTTTAATAACATACATATAATATTGAGACATTCAGCATAACACTGAAATGCTGAGGATGATATGATAATTTGGGTATCCTTTTTTCTTCTTGTTGAAAAGAAACTATAGCTTTCCTTCTAAAGAGTAGACTTTCACAGGCTAAAATAAAGACAAAGCTCAGTGGGAGAGAGACGTGAAAGAGAGCACTGGACTGGGAGTCCATACTGCCTTCAACCTGTCCTTCAGCTCCTTCCTGCTCCTAGTACACTTTCTGTTTTTCTGGCCATGCTACACGGCATACGGGACCTCAGTTCCCACACCAGGGATGGAACCTGTGCCCACTGCAGTGGAACTGCAGAGTCCTAACCACTGGAATTCCCCCTAGTACACTTTTAAAGCACCTATCCACTCTCATTTTCCCTGCTGGAAGCAGGGGCTTACAGAAGTTAAACGGCTTGCCCAAGATCACTGAGTTGCTTGAGAAGATGTGGATGGGGCAACAAGTTATGAGAGTTTCTCGCCCCAACTCATAGGCCTTGTTCAAAAAGTTTGAGAATCATCGTTCTAGAACAGTACATTGTTCTTTAGCTTCTTCCTCCTTATTTCGACCACATCAGTTCAAGCATAAATATTTATAGATTATCCCTCCACCCTTTACAACTCCCTACTAACTATTTAATGTCCAAATTAAGGAATCAGTTCAGCAAGTCACCATCCCTCCCAGGTACATCTCTTCTTCAACATCCCCAATTCCTACTGTTCTGATCAACCACAGGTTTTCTTAGCACTCTTTACTACTTTCAATTACCTAAATACAGGTGTCCCCTGCTTTTCGAAATTTCCCTTTACGCCACTTATCTTTTATGAAAAATCTACATTAGTACCTGTTTTTCCTAACTGAAAGAAATCCAAAGAGGATCTTCACTTTTATGAAAAACGGTGAAAAGGGAAAATAGCATTCAGCATTTGTTTTGCAGTGAGCTGTTATGGAGGCAGCGTGCACCCCGAGCAGAGAGAGTAGCACCCCAAGCTCCTTCCCCGGGAACTACACTGAGCATCTCGGCATCAAGCCGCCATAACTTTGAACTGTGCCTGTGAGCATCTGCACTTTGTCTCAGTTTACCTTGTGCATCCGTGAGCTAGATGTGTCCTAGGGTGACTGCTTCTTCCCTTTACACCGTTTCCACTTACGAAAGATTCCATAGGAAGGCTCTACTTTTGGATAGTGGGGAAACCTGTATGATTTATTTACCTCCTAATTTGCAATCTACCTTTACTCATGTCTTCCTCTAAGATCTTCCTGAACCAACACAGGGCAACCAGTTAGTGGAACTACACACTTAAAAAATGCTCCAATAGAAAATAAATAACCCCAAACATCAATACTAACATCTACAATATTTAAAAATATATTGACATACATACCTAGATATGTCCACGCAGAAAAACCCACAACCTACAGCCATTCAATTCAACAGACATTCCATTTAGAAACTGGGTTATGTAAGGAGGGAAATCCAATATTACACTAACACCTTGGAAGAGGCTCAGAGCAAGACATGATACTGCCTCTTAACTCAATTTTATCAGATGCCTGAAAGGGTGAAGCCGTATGTTGCTGAGACCACTCTGGTTTCTGGAACCTATTAAGGTTGAATAGAAAGTCTGCACACTTGAGGGGCCTTGCCCTGGGAGACATTTTTCATATGATGTGCTGATGGACTGGAGAGCTATTAATGACTGAATGAGATTCTAGTAAAGTGCCGGTTTCTTCTTAGCTGTGTATCATTTGATATAAATGGTTCACGGCCAGAGACCAGGGGCTGGGCTGTGAGATAAGAGAAAATCTATATATTGGCCTCTGCCCCTGGTTCCTGGCACAGAGTTCCTAAAACTCTTATAATATCCTAAGTGAGAAGAACAGTAGGAGCATCTCTTGTCCTTTACACAGTAGTTCCCCCTTATCCATGGGGGATACATCCCAAGGCCCCCAGTGG